ATTTTTTGAATTAGACCAGCTGTCAAACTTAGGCCCTTGATGACAGAGGAATGTTCCTTAACATAGGATGCTTACTGAGCCACCACCTTTATAGTATGGAAAGATTTATAGTTTAACATATATGGGAATCTATCTTCCAAGCGGCATACAAAAGCACTTAGGTTTAGTTAGGCAAACTAGGAACTTTATGTGTGTTGTGGGATGACGGCCGGCATCTTACACCAGTTGTTTGTGCAACCACTGCCAGCTCGTAATCCAAGAGAAATCAATTCAAAATCGGAAACTAAAGAAAAAGATTAGAGTGAAGAAAACAGAGAGGCAACGTGAAAAATAAAAAATTAAAAGAAATCCGCTTGGATCGGGGTTTTGAACCCGACGTGAATCGAACACGCAACCTTCTGATCTGGAGTCAGACGCGCTACCATTGCGCCACGGATCCGTTGTTGGTGGTAGTGATACTTTGTTTTATAAGTATATTAAAAAAGGCTAGACTAATACCGTTGCCGAGATGTTGACAATATTTGCCTGCCCAAGCCCAACCGGCGGTTGCTTAGATTTGCTCCTCGGAGATTCGCGGGGTAAAAGGGCATAAACCATGCAATGTTCACATGTGCTCTAGTATTCTGTTTTTTCTTTCTTTGAGCATGGTGTTTTTCTTTTCATGCGAACACACCAGAGGTTGGATTCCAATGAGAAAGCAGTGCCATCGCTCGCACGGAGCATCAATGCAATGCAAGGCATTTTCAATCTGTCCACTTCACTTCCCAGCAAGCAACACAGGCCGGGACCATGCGTCCATGCATGCCTATTGGATTCTCCTCCTCCTAGTAGCTTTTAACCAGCGAGGGTACATCAGTTCGTGACGCACCGACGAGTTCAGAGAGTTTGCGCACAGTTGAGCTCCCATCGCGCGTGATCAGCAGCAGAGCAGCGCGACAGGCACCGCAGAGCTCTCATCAGTTCATGCGGGAACGGCCGAACTCTTCGTCCCTGCCACTGTGAGTGGAATCACGAAACGCAGAGCGAGAGCGGAATAAATGGCGGCTTCATTCAAAGCCGCCGCAGGCTCCCCACCGGCCACCGCGCGACCGCGGCAGTCCGACAGAGGTCTCGGGCTCTCGGCAGCCGGCAGGCACTCGCAAATCGCGACGCACCATTCAAAAGACGCGGCAGGCGCTTTTGCCGTATCCCCCGTCGCGATCCGCCCCGTCCCCGTGGCCCGTAAATATTCGTCCTCACCGCACTGCGGCGAGCGCGCGCATCTGCTGTCTTCCAGCAGGAGCAGGGCCGGCCTTGAATGGCTGAGTCGCGTCTCGCCCCGGCCTCTGGGACTGCGTGCGTGCCTGCCTGCCCTGCGCGAAGCTCCAGCGGCGGGCGCGGCAGGGGTCATTGAATCCATGTGAGGGGCCGAGGATCATGTGACGCACAATCAAAGGTCCCCCGCGCAGCCGCTGCGCCTCTCATCAATGGCCGCGCTAGCTGCCTGCCTGCCTCGCGAGCTCGGTCATGCTGGCATGCGGGCTCTGGCTGCGGGCTGCGGCTATATATACGAGTACGCTCGGCGCGGCGATGACGTACGTGCAGGTGCAGCTAGCCTCCCGCCCCGACGACGGCCTCTCTCAGAGATCCACCACCACGCCACGACGTCTCAGCAGCCGACACCGCCAAGCGCGCCGTGCTCGTACGGTCTCTTTGGGCTGATGGGGAGGCACGCTGGCGTCATTCTTGCTCTGACGGTAGTGCTGCTGCTCGCCGCCGCGAGTGATGGCATCAGACCAGCTCCTGGTAAGTGCAGCTACTGCATGCCTGATACGGATCCATGAATAACGTTTCTTCCAGATACGCATCATCGATCGATCGAGTTCTTCATTTGAACAGCTGCTGGGGCGAACGAACTGGCGCGTGGATCAACGGCGGAGATGGTCGTAGCTGCACCGTCAGCTGCACAGGTATATATATACATGTCATGTCGACCAGACGACTCAACGTTGGCTCGATTTGAATCATCAACACAGACATGCATGCACTACAGATCCTCATGTGTCGTTCCGGTAACGTACGTTTAGGTGCAGGGGAGGAGGAGCAGGGGCGGCAAGGACGACCTGGTGCTGCGGGAGGAGGTGGTGCGCGCCACGGGGTCGAGCCTCCCGGACTGCTCGCACGCGTGCGGGGCGTGCTCGCCGTGCAGCCGCGTCATGGTCAGCTTCAAGTGCTCCGCGTCCGAGCCGCTGCCGTGCCCCATGGTGTACCGCTGCATGTGCAGGGGCAAGTGCTACCCGGTGCCCTCCAGCTGACGATAATGCCGATCGATCGAGTCGCCGCCGGCGGGATGGAGATGATGATGGCCTGCTAATAAGCTGTAGGCTGTAGCTAGCACTTGAACCTTAATTTATGCATGGAGAGCTGGAGACTTCTCCGTCTGAGCTAAACACGGTGTTACGGGGCAGTTTTTGTAAATGACGATGGGCGATGAGTCGTTACCTAGCGCTAGCTAGCTAGTACTAATATGTGTGCTATGGAGGAGAGATCCTGACGATGAGTCTTTTTTGGGGGGTGCCCGAGGGTTGTTTCATTGTACTGTAGTAGGATGTATGAACAGCAGGACAAGGTCTTGGAGACACGCTAAGAATGTTGCAGTGTGTTCGATCCCTTAAGTAGATGTACGAGGCTTCTTTGCTAATTTGAGTAAAATCTTTGTTGTAGGCAGCATGCCATGTGTTATTCATTTGGGTGCCTAAAGCATAACTGCTCTTACTGGCGAATTGTTGCCTGGTTTATAACAAAACTAACCGTAACAAATATTTAGTGAGAACATAGGATACGCAATATATTTATATGTAGGGCCTGCTTGATGCCAGCCATGAGTTGCAACGCCTCATATGCAGCGGCACCACAGTTTGTGACGAGGGAAATCAGCGCCACAAAGTCTAGAGGGATTTGTGAAGCTTTTGCTGTGGAAGTAGCTGTGGCTGCCTAACATGTCTCGTCAACAAAAGCACATGGCAGAATATGTGTGGCGCTGACACACTTGTGGCGTGGCGTTTAAATGTCAGGAACCAAACGGTCTCGTAATCCCTTTTGCAATTATAGAAGAATTTTTTTTGCTTAATTAACTTATCTGTAAGTATATTATTGCTTTATATCTCCATATTCATGCATCTAGTTATTTCCACACCAACATTGCTTGTTCTCGGTTTCTTTTGAATGTTTTGCCAATGACCAATATATGTTTGTGGTTTCAAGATAGCATAAAATCTCTGAACATATAGTTCTAAATAGACATGTACTTCCTTCGTCCTACAAAGAAATATCTATAGCATCTAGAATGTGTCTCATAAAAAGGACACTACTTACTGTTTAACATTGTCCAAGACCAGTTTATTGTTGTTCATCAATACTTCTGTGGGGTATCCAGGCAGTGGCGTATCTAGAAAATTAAGTTAGGAGGGACGTCTATCCTATTCTTGTAAGTTGTAATAGCCCTTCATTTCAAGCTTCCATGAATATCAATTTGTAGGGGTTTGGTAGGGGGTCCACACTTCGAGCAACGGTAGCGGGGCTCAAGCCCGCATGTCTCGTTGCTAGATCCGCATTTGTATCGAGGTCACTTTATCTGATCCTTAGGGCATATTTGGCATGACTTCATATGGTTCTGACTCCTGTACTAGCAATTATAGAAGTCATTTTTCTCTCTCATGGTAAAATGAACCAGGAGCAAGTAGAAGCTACGTTTTGTGAATCCTTCGGCTCCTACTCCCTTGACATTGTAGCAATGTGCCGGAGCCATAAGCCCCTCCAATCAAGACCTTAGGCTATGCTACAAATATTATAACGCCTTGGGAGTTGGGACGGAAGGCTACAAATCATTGGCGGAGCTACATGCAGGTCAAAGAGGGCCATGGCCCCTCCTTGCTTGCTGATTGAAAATTCCATTAAGTAGCTATTAAACTGGTGATTAAAATTAATAATAAGTATGCATATTAAGTAAGAAATTAGTGATAATGGCCCCTCTTGTTTCACCATCAAGCTCCACCACTGCTACAAATATTATAATGCCTTGTGGCGGAAGGAGGAGTAGCTACCTCGTAAATCAATAATCGTGTACCTAAAAAGAATGAGAACTAACCTTTCAACTAACGCTTGTGCCCACCATCTTCCACGATTAGGAGGTCCACCAACCTAATTAAAGCTCTCAAAATCATCCACTAAGGCCCTCATTTATTTCACTTCACTCTTGAAAAAATTTCCTAACGCTAAGCAGTAAGCAATCGGTCACCTTTGATTTAGCCATTATTCGAACAAAACGTCCCATTAAACGGGCTATTAAACGGGGTAAACAGGTGAAAAAGACACCACCGTGTAAGCGTTTACCAAAAATAAGCGGCCGGATTATAAGAGAAACGATTATAAGACAAACGAAACGTCTCAAACGTCTAAACGCCACTAATAAACAAACATAACGGCCATACGCCCACACCGACCGATGTGTATTTGTGTACACTGTATACACACCAACCAAAAGAAACAACACACACAAGACCAATATTGCCAGACACGCTGGTGGCGTCCACGGTGTGCACGTAGCAGAAAAGGACCGGGTCCTGGGACACCACCAACGCCTACGCTGCGGCTGCCCCCGTGTTCCTGGTCCCTGTCCCCGCTTGGCAGCCGCGACACGAGAGGCGGAGGCACAAATACGATTCCGGATTCCACCGTTGGCGCTGGCGTAAACCCTGCCTCTCCCTATCCCCCTCCACAAGTCCGCCTCCCAACTGGCCAGCTGCCTCCTCCTCCTCCCGCCGCCGCTTCCCGCTTCGCTCCACTCGCCTCCCGGAGGCCGCCGAATGCCCGCGCCCAGTGCCACCCGCTCTCAACCCTAGACGTGTGCCTCGCCTCACCCGCGCCGCGCGGTGTGGTCCAAGACGGCGCCCTGCGGGCTCGGCTGCGGCGGCGGGGGAGTGGGGGGAGGGGGCGGGAGTCTGAGGCGGCTCGTGGGGTCCATGGCGATGGCCGGGGCGGCGCCCGCACCGGCGCCCCCGCTGCTCCGGCGGTGCCCGTGCTCCGCGCCTCCCTGGGCGCCCTCTCCCTTCCGCTCCCGCCGCCGCGGCCGCTCCATGATGTCGCCGTTCACTGGCGCCAGAAGGTAATGCCCCCTTACTGTTTAGCGGTTCAATGCTCGTTCCGGTGACCTTAGAGCTTATGGTGCTGCGTGATTAGACCGTAGCGGTGATGGTGATAAAACATTTGATTAGATAGAGGTTTGCACTTTGGTTAGCTCGATGATGTGTTGATGTTCTGGTGATTACTGTTGTTTCGTGGGAACCTTGTGTGTCGTGTTCTGGATTGATGCTAGTAATAATCTCTATCTGTGAACCAATCAGGGATGAGTGAACCAAATAGTGTCTGTTCTGTAATTTGGCTCTGCATCCATAGCCTGCAGGGCGGAGCTATTGCTTCTGGTGGTAGTGTTTTTGCTGAACCTTGTTAGCGAACAACATGTGATGATGTTCCTCCAGAGTATCCTACCTATTAGCCTAATAGCAGCCATTAAAAAATGTCCATCATTTGGTGTTTCGCCTCTGACTTTTAGAATGGCTGATTGCCAGGCAGGAGTACTCCCAGAGCTCAGTCCTTGGAATTCAAGACAGCCGAGCTCTTAAGCTTCCAGTATGTGTCAACTTTAATGTGCAAAGTAGCGGCGCACAAGAATGGGCTGACGAGAGCAGGAGGTTATCCTTAAGCAAAGCCAGCAATAGTAATGGTTCCACTCATCTAGGGACAGGTATTTTCCATCATGAACCCTTGGAAGATTTCAAGAGCTCCAACCAATCTCTATTGCACAGTGTAAGACAACGAATGGCACCGAATTCTCTTGCGAATAGGCACGCCAACACGGAACTGGCAAAGCATCATGCGATTAATCGTGCCGCAGTTGCTGTGACAGCACTGACCAGTGTTGTTAATGATGACATTAAACCGGTGAAGAGGCCTAAGGAATCTGAAGTGGAGGCTCATTGGCCTAATGGTCCCAAGTTTCATTCTCCTCTTCCGAAAATCTCTGAAGTTGAAACAAGCTTGCCATTTGATGAAAATGCTACAGATGGTCATGCTAAAGATGTGAATGAATGCTCACCCGAGGAGATGGTACAACCTTCTCCAGCTAGAGCGCCCTTATCCCAGGAGTCTATAGATGCGCGGAAGGCACTTGCTACCATCTATGACAAAGTTCTGGTGGTTGACAATGTCATGTCAGCTAGGAGTGTTGTTCAACTGCTTACTACGAAGTACAGAAATTATATTCATGCATGTGACACAGAGGTAAGGCATTAAGCCTTTTGCGATTGTTCAAACATCTATGTAAATGCTTTATGTAATTATGTTTGTTTACATCGGTCATGACTTGTTGCCTGAATCTAATATTGACATATTCAATCAGGTAGTATATACTCCTTTAGCATTCATTAATCAAAGTTCAACATATGACTAGATACCCACCCATTTTTATTCTAGTGTCTGCTTTCTGCAACTTATGTTCATTATGCATCATTTATGCCTACCTATTCCTTTGTTGTTCACTATGACATCCATGAAAAATGAGGGGAAAAGGTGTCACTATTGTCATGTATCTTGAACAGCGAGTAGAATAGTAGATACCCATCATCATCTTGTTGGTTCAGTGGTATGTACTGGGCAGGGATGCACACGGGTACGCAGTGGTGTTTTCTGGGTCAGCTAATTAATTACGTAGCATGCTGTTCTGGTTCATTTATTTCCCTAAATTAATGAAATGACATGTCATTTTAGTTCATTTTAGCAAGTTTTGGGTTGGTCCAATGACAAAAAAAAAAAGTGGGACTTGCATCCCTATTACTGGACAATTGAGTTATACGTTGGGAAACTTTCTTTCCTTTTGAACGCATATTGACTCTTTGGTGTTATAATTCAGGAGAATTCACTGCTATGCAGGTAGATATTGATGTTAAACAAGAGACACCAGTTGGCCATGGAAAGGTCACATGCTTTAGCATCTACTCTGGCACTAAAGGTGCTGAAGCTGATTTTGGAAATGGCAAGACATGCATTTGGGTGGATGTGCTGGATGGTGGACCAGATGTACTCATGGAGTTTGCCCCATTTTTTGAGGATTCATCAATCAGGAAGGTGATATGCAGCTTAAAACTCATGCTTACAACTTTACTATGTGTTGCATGCTGAATTATATATTTTTCACTGATTTTACCCTTTTTTTTTTCCATCTCTAGTCAAACTTTGCTATTTATGGAATGTATATAGGAATAGGATAAAACATATACCTCTGTTGTCTTATCGTTTGAATCTTGAGCAAGTATCTATTTTTCTTATGTAGGTTTGGCACAACTATAGTTTTGATAGTCATGTCATAGAGAACTATGGAATTAAAGTTGCTGGATTTCATGCTGATACAATGCATCTTGCAAGACTTTGGGATTCTTCAAGAAGAACGGATGGAGGATATTCTCTTGAGGGACTTACAAATGATCATAGGGTCATGGGTGTTGTCTCAAAGGAATTGCGAAAGATTGGGAAGAGATCAATGAAAACCATCTTTGGTAGGAAAAAGATAAAGAAGGATGGATCAGAAGGGAAGATTACCTCAATCGAGCCTGTTGAAATTTTACAAAGAGAAGACAGAGAATTGTGGATCTGCTATTCTTCATTAGATTCCATGAGTACCTTGAAGCTTTATGAAAGCTTGAAAAGCAAGCTTGAAAGGAAGCCTTGGACTTTTGACGGTTGCCCCAGAGGTTCATTGTACGATTTCTACGAGGAGTATTGGCGTCCTTTCGGTGCTATTCTTGTAAAAATGGAAACAGCTGGAATGCTTGTTGACCGTGCTTACCTTTCAGAGATTGAAAAGGTTGCTGTTGCACAGCGCAAATTAGCTGCAGATAAATTTCGGAAGTGGGCATCTAAGTATTGCCCTGATGCAAAATACATGAATGTTAATAGTGATACTCAGATTCGACAACTCTTTTTTGGTGGTACAGAGAACAGGTATAACCCTCACCATCATATATTCTCTCTTCAAAGTTCCTTTTGGGTATCCAGATTTTGTGTATTCTTCATCATCCATCTGTCACTTAGAGAGCAAAGGTTCCTGTATGTCTATTAAATACAAAACAAAAGGAAAAAAAAACTTTAGTCAATGTATGTTTAAGTTTGTATCCTAGATATTTCTTGCACGCAATTGTTAGAAATCTTGATGTTTTTAATCTTTGTACAGATGCAAACCTGGTGATTTATTGCCGAAGATTAAAGCTATTAAAGTGCCTAACGATGAAACTGCAGTTTCAGAAGGCAAGAAGGTTCCAAAGTATCGCACAATTGAACTTTTCAACATTGTGGAAGACCTGAAAACTGATATATTTACTGCAAGTGGCTGGCCTTCAGTTAGTGGGGATGCATTGAGAAGTTTGGCTGGGAAGGTTCCATCAGATCTTGTTTACTCAACAGATGATGTAAATGATGATGAATGTGGTAGTCATTCTGAAATTTCCAATTGTGATCTAGAAGACACCTCTTCTTATGGAACTGCATATGATGCATTTGGAGGAGGAAAGGAAGGAAAAGAAGCATGCCATGCCATTGCAGCTTTGTGTGAGATCTGTTCTATTGACTCGTTAATATCCAACTTCATTCTTCCTCTACAGGTGAGCTGGCTCCACCTACTCTAATGTAGATTGCGTTGCAGCAGTCATTATTGTACACATGCTATGCGAGCAATCACTTAGTAGTCTTAGTTATCTATCTGTATCTTTATCCTATTTATATTTATTATATCATTTTGTTCCCCTGGCAGGGAAATCATATATCATGTAAGGAAGGGCGGATCCACTGTTCCTTAAATATTAACACAGAAACAGGGCGTTTATCGGCAAGGGCACCAAATTTACAGGTTGGCATTTATGATTTTAGGGAGTTTGCACGTGTTTTGCAGTATGAAATGACATTCTAGAGGTCAAGAATTATACAGGATTTGAGCTGTCTTTCTACATATTAGATCATTTCAGAAAAGGACCAACAGGAAGTGTCATACTTACAAAGCAATAGATGATAGTTCAAGCTAATGTACTCAAATAGACAATAATCTGTTACCCCAATGTATGCAGCAGTTAGATACTTAGATTGGCAAGTTCTGTATTCTTAATATGTGTGGACTGGATGAACATAAATGAAGAACTGGTACTGATATTGTTAAAATAAGCTCTGTTTTGTTTCTGCCAAAATAGGTAGCCCAGATTGTTGCAGTATTTAATATGATAACCCAAAGATGAGAAATGTTTTGTCAAGGTTTGCAAGTTGTGAGCTGGTTGCTTTAAATATTGTAGTACTGTGATACCAACATCAAGTAATTTGTTGTACTTGTGATCTAAATTACTCCATGACAGAACCAACCTGCGCTTGAAAAGGATAGGTATAAAATCCGCCAAGCTTTTGTTGCAGCTCCAGGGAACACTCTTATTGTTGCTGATTATGGTCAGGTATGCTTGTGCGCAGTAGAGTTTTTGAATGTTTGTATGCTGATGATACTAGTTCCAAGTAAAAAGACAAATTTGTTTTGTGTGTAGCTGGAACTCAGGATCTTGGCGCATCTTGCTGATTGTAAAAGCATGTTAGATGCTTTCAGAGCTGGCGGTGACTTCCATTCCAGGACAGCCATGAACATGTATCCGCATATTCGTGAGGCTGTTGAAGAAGAGAAAGTAATTCTTGAGTGGCATCCTCAACCCGGTCAAGAGAAACCTCCCGTGCCGTTGTTGAAGGTATGCTAGCTTTAATGATGTTTCTGAGAATTATGTTGATTCCTTCTAATTGTTAAAATTATGTTCAGTGCTACTAGGTTATTAGCTTTTGTACTGCACTTCCACGCACATACAGTTTCCTTTCCTTTTCCTTTTACCTTCCATGTCGTCTGGTCCAGAACTTGTACACTGTGTAGTTAATTATGGATATTAGCATGGGAATATACATGGCGCGTATGAAAAAATGGACTCTAATGCTTTTCCTGTGACGTAGGATGCTTTTGGCGCTGAGAGGAGGAAAGCTAAGATGCTAAATTTCTCCATTGCATATGGGAAAACGCCCCATGGGCTTGCTCGTGATTGGAAGGTACAAACTTGTCAAACAAACATAGCTCTAAATTAAGCAGCAAGTCAACGTTAGTGTGCATTACACTTAAGTCTGAGCTTTGGATTACTGGGTTTGTGCCAGTCAGCAACACACTTGCTGAATAGCCATGTTTACAAGAAATGTAGCCTTCATGGCTTCTTGTAACCCTTCCTCTCTTGTCAGGTTTCTGTTAAGGAAGCAAAAGATACACTGAAACTCTGGTATAGCGATAGAAAGGAGGTTCTGGCTTGGCAAATGAAACAGAAACAGCTAGCACATGAGAAGTCTGAAGTTTATACTTTGCTTGGGCGATCACGCCGTTTTCCAAATATGGCTCATGCAACTTCTGGCCAAAGGGGTCACATTGAGCGTGCTGCTATCAATGCTCCTGTACAGGTGATTACTGTCTATTGCAACTCCTCGTTGAAATTAGTTTTGTGCTGAAATTATTTTCTTTGAACACCACAGGGCAGTGCAGCTGATGTTGCTATGTGTGCAATGCTTGAGATAGACAGGAATACTCGTCTTAAGGAGCTTGGTTGGACGCTCCTCTTGCAGGTACTTCATGCATAAAGTTAGATCACTGGTTAAATGTTGGCATACTTTGCTTTCTCCTTTGAAACTGAAAAGGACACACCTTTTTTATGACTCCTGTAACTAGAGTACTTGACCTTTGGTATCCCGTATTGAGTCAAAATGGATACATTTGACGGTGCAGATTGTTTTCCCTGGAGTACTATTCTAGTTTCTAGCCTTTTTTGAAAAATAAATGCAACATAATTTTAGACCTAGCAGAACTGACAGCTCCATAAAGGCTTTGTTGTTGTTGTTGTAGAACTGACAGCTCCATCTTTCAGGTGCATGATGAAGTGATACTGGAAGGGCCTTCAGAGTCTGCGGAGCTGGCCAAGTCCATAGTGGTTGAGTGCATGTCTAAGCCCTTCTACGGCACCAATATCCTGAAGGTCGACCTTGCTGTTGATGCCAAATGTGCACAGAATTGGTATGCGGCCAAGTAGACCGTAGCACTTTCCTCCCTTCCCTGTTCAGTGTTGACTACCAAACACAGCAAAGGTTGTGGTCCCAGAAGGGTGTCAATTCCTTTGGCGAAATTCAGTGTGTTTTGAACTGGTATCTACTGCTAGTAGCCTACTGAGCTCGTCTCCAGGTGGATGCCATGCACTAGTTATTTCACCGTGGGCAGAGGAAACTGGACAGTGAGGGGTCAGCACTAAGCAGCGAAGGCATTGTACACTACTCCGTATAGGTCGGATAGCTTGACCTTCCACACTCCCTGTTAGGATCTGTCGATCTTTCATGCCTGATGTACTCCCTGTTAGGATCTGTCGATCTTTCATGCCTGATGTAGTTGACCGTCCTGGATAGTAGTGAAGACTAAGCATGCCGTGTTCATAAGATTTGTTTAGCATGCTGATGTGTTGTGTTAGCTGACCTGTTCTGCTGATGTCTACACTGCCGTACATACTGCAACAATGTTTTGGTCACAAGAGAATGTAGTTGATTGTGAGGGTTCTTAATCTCTTTATTTCTGCTGTTGAATTGTGCGTCTTGTTGATTGCCTCTTCTCTGAACATTGTCCGCACAGCAGGGCTGAGCAAATGTTTCAGTTCGTCATAAATTCAAGTGAACTCCTGACCTGACCAGCTTGGCATCATTTGAACTGGCCCCAGCATGTGCCTATAAGTAAATACAAGGATCATCTCCAAATGTCTCAAGTGATGATAAAGATGGCGAAACAACGACGGCGCAGCAATTAACTGGCCAGCGAAGAATATTGCTCCCGTTCAGAATGTGAAGCAGCAGATAACGGCAAAGCCAGAACAAAATGATACGCTTAGTTTGTTGTTTATGTATAAGCTTCTGTTCTGCTCAAATCATGTTAAAACAATGGTCCCTGTCAATCTCAGATCTGATGAAACAACACGCATTGCAGAGGTGTCCGAACAGAAATGTGAATCAATCACCCTCTGACTGCGAGCTGCTGCCAATGGTGGACGAATCGCCACCCAAGCTAGCCTTGCGGTGGTCTAACAGGAGTTCGGTTAAAATCGTCTTCTGCTGATTTGTACGGCTGATTCGTTGTGAGAGAAAAATACTGTTCCTCGGCTGATTTGTATGGATTAAAGCCGGCTGATTTGTACGGATTAAAGCCGGCTGATTTGTACGGATTAAAGTCGTCCACGCCTCTGGCCGGCCTCGATGGCGCGGCACCGCGGCTCCATCCGCTTGCTGAGGCTGTACGTCAGCACCACGGGGTTCCTAACGATGTCGTCGGCGCCGCACCCGGCGGTGCCTATCAGGAACTCCACCTTGCGGCGCAGCAACTCCGCGGACATGCCCACGAAGCACGGTGCGCGCCGGAACATGGCGAGGAACTCCTGCTCCGTGCATCCGGTCGCGCACATCACGGCGCCATCTTGGCCCGGAACTCGGCGTCGCTGACGCAGTGCAGCGCCAGGAGCGCCCACGCATACATCCAGGAGCCACGCGGCACCCCGCACGCGTCGACGCGCGCGGCCAGCACCCGGAGCCTGGCGGGCGACCGCAAGATCAACGCCGGCCTCTGCCACACCGTGGCGACGAGCAGCGCCTCGGGGACGCCGTAGCCGTGGAGCGTGGACATGCTGTCCTTGAGCCATTCGACGCTGTACTTGAGCAGCCACTTCTTGGTGAGGCATTTCATCAGTAATCTGGTGGAGCCGAGAAGATCGAGCCAGAACAGGAGGCGCGAGAGGAGGTTGGTGTGGACGCCCCAGGTGAGCGCGGGCGGGTAGAGCGCGAAGAGGCGCGCGGCCTCAGCGTGGGTGAGGCCCACCGACCGCACGGCGCGGAACTTGGGGGCGATGGTGGCGTCCACGTCGCTGAGGAGCAGCGTTGGGTGGAACGTCACGACGGCGCGGACCTGCGCGCGGGTGAGGCCCTGCGAGCGGAGGAAGGCGAGCGCGGCGTCGGGCCTGTCTGGGGATCTGAGGTGCGCGAACCGCGGGGCCGCCTTCGCGGCCTTGGCCGGCGGGACGCCGCTGGTGGAGACGAGGTAGTCGACCATGAAGTGCGGTTGGTCGGACAACGAAGTGGAGAAGCGGTGGAGGAGGATGTGACTTCGGAGTTCAGGTGGGAAGGGGACGAGCGGCAGGGGAGGTGTGGGAACGGGCACAACGCGGTGGAGGGCGTGGCGGGCGAGTCGCCGCAGCGCCATGGATGCGCTCGACTGGGCGCCAAGAGACAGGGAGGCAGCCAGGCCGGGACGCCGACCATGTCCGACAAGTGTTTGGGCCGAAAAGGCCTCGTCCAAACTATAAATTCGTTTTTAGAAAATAATTGCAAAAATTATTAGAAATGTACTTTTCTCACCAGCTGGACGGGTCAGATTTAAATTTCAAATCACCAAATTAAATTTCACCATTGCAAACGTTGAGATATCCCTTCTCTACCTAGCACATCTTAAAAATTTATAACCTTTATAGCATTTTCATATGAGCTGTATTATAATTATACCGCAACAGCACAATACATTTTCATTATTTCAGCACTAAAATGACTTCAAATGAAAATGTACTGACCTACAAACTTGTAGATCTTGCTAAGCTCTACAATATTTCTATAAATTTCCTCTCCATCTATTCTCATATGGAATGATTTTTTAAGATGTGCTATGAAGAAATGGGATATTTCACCATTTTAATTGGCAAAATTTAAATCTTGCCATTTCAATTAGCAAGAGGAGTACAATTTTTTTGTGAAATATTAAAAAACTCCGAATCATAGGGAGGGTCTCATACTACTACTTGTGGAAGATGATTATGGTCGGACCAAAGTTGCGCTTGCCAAGCTCACTATTGAAAATTCGAGAACCTGCAGGGCCCTGTTTGCTTCTCTTCTCATCCGTCTTTTTCAGCTTGTTTTTTCAGCTGGAATAATATTTTCTCTCACAATAAATTAACCGGAACAGTGTTTCGGCTTGTTTTTTTAGCGAAGCGAACGAGGCCTAATCATGTTACAATTTTAGGGCTTGTTTAGAACGAAAAAAATATGAAATAGAGGAATATAAAAAACATAGAAAATATAATAGTGGAAACTATAGGATTTCACTGGAATAGATACTTTGAACTATTGTCTATCTAGATTGGAGGGAAAAAATACAGAACATAAGCAAGGATAGTAGGGGAGAGAGCAAATATTCTTTCTCATGGGTTGGTATGAAGGTTTTATTTTCTCCATTTTGCACATCTCTTATGAGCTCAATTTTCCTTCATTCCAAACACTCTGATGTTGTTCCTTTCATTTGAAATTTATCTCTTTAATTTTTTAATAATCCTTTGATTGAATCAGGGCCTTACAATACAAAGTTATACTTTCAACTAATCTGGCACCCCCTAGCATGTACTCCTATCTACACCTTTGCTTTCTATAGACTTTGTCTTTCCTCTTTGCCTCCACTCACTATCCGTCTCTCTTTTCGTGACTTGCCTTAGCACATACAGAGTACTAATAAATAGAATCCTCGGTGTGGCGGATCTAGGATGGACGATTAGGGGAAGGAGGGGTAAACTTTCTTTCTTTTTAGAGGAGGGGAGGTCTCCATTGTTCAAGCCCGCCCTGCTGGATCCGCGCTGCTCAATAACCCTTCCCATCGCAAATGTTTGTTTTTTCAACACGGTGCTTCTCCACCATGACATCAACAAACGGAGCAAGAATCAAAGGACCCGCAGGAAGAGTAATGCTTTGAATACACATGATTCATTAAGTGAAAGATGTCACAAGTTAAGATTATATAGCCTATTGACTGCAAGATGAGTAAGCTATGATCCTCTTTACTCCCTCCGTTCACATAAGAATGCAATTCTCGCTTCTCGAGAAGTCAATCCGTTTGAACTTTGACCAAAATTATATAAAAAAAATACTAACATTCCTGATGCAAAATTAGTATCATTAGATTAGTCATAGAATATATATTCATAATAAATTTATTTGGAGACATAAATATTAATACTATTTGCTATAAACTTAGTCAAACTTGAGCTAATTTGATCGGCATGGATCCCATAATTGCATTCTTTTCTGGACGGAGGGAGTAATTATATTGTTATATGTATCCTCTTTGACATGGCTTTTAGAGCAATTTCAACTTTGTACCAAATGCTAGCTCATAAAATGACTCTACAAAAAAAAAAACTGCAGAGGGGAGAAGCCTTTTGTTTTACTAGAGGTGTGAAGCAATATGTGGCTTAAATGGCTTCTCTAGTTTTTTAGGAGAAGCGGTTTGCAAAGAAGACCCGCCAGCCTGCAGGTTTGATATTCCAATGGTTGTCGCAGAGACTGACGTCATAGCTCTTGAAAAGCTATTGCAAAAGTATACTCCCTACGGCAATAAAATAATAAAATTCTCACATCTTAAAAAGTCAAACATATTTAACTTTGACTAAAATTATATAAAAATATACTAACACTCATGAGACAAAATAAATATCATTAAATTAGTTATAGAATATATTTTTATAATAAATTTATTTGAAGACATGAATATTAATATTATTTATTATAAAATTAGTCAAACTTAAACTTGTTTGACCGATACGGCTTTCATAATTGTATTCTTTCTAGACGGATGGAGCAGCTACAATCAAATCTTTAGGTGAGTTGTTCCTTGTAAAACCACCATATGGGTGTTTGGATGTAGGGACTAAAGTTTAAGATGTGTTATATGTGGTGTCGCATGAGGTATTCAGATACTAATAAAAAAAATAAATTACAAAATCCATCAATAATCCGTAAGACGAATTTATTAAGCCTAATCAATCCATCATTAGCACATGTACTGTAACACAATATTATCAAATCATAAACTAATTAAACTTAATAAATTCGTCTTATAAATTAGTTACAATCTATACATTTAGTTTTATAAATGATCTATATTTAATACTTTATTAGATGTGTTAAATATTCGATGGAACATCGAAGTTGAGGAGGTGAAACCATGGAACATCGACGTTGAGGTGAAACCACTTACACCGTGGAGGCCGACGTGACGTGACCTCTCCACACCAAATCGCCGTAGCGTCAACAGGAATGCTGAGTACAATGCGATGCAAATACAAAGTTGCAAGCCCGTGTTTACTTACTCTGTCAAAACTTTATATCCTATAATATCGAATGTTTAGATATATATATATATATATATATATATATATAAATATAAACTAAAAAATAATTAATTATATATATTACGACTATTTTATAAGATGAATCTTTTAAGTCTAATCAGTTCATGATTTGATAATAAAGCACTACAATAATCCATGTGCTAATAACAAATTAATTATGCTTAATAAATTCGTCTCACGATTTATCGATGGATTTTATAATTTATTTTTTATATTAGTATTAAACACCCATACAATACTCGTATAACATCCGATACGACACACAAACCTTTACACGTCGATCTAAACACCACCGTATGCAACTCGACCAACAAATCGTACTACTACTGCTACTACTCCTAGGACGTGCAACATCATCAACCGAGTAGTAGCTTGAGGAACTCTGATTTGAAAGCGTCCACGTGCTTCTGCTGGAGCATGGACACCGACGCCTGCACCCCGTCGCCGTCCCTGGCGCGGACCAGTGCCAGCTGCCCGTCGTGGTTCATCCTGATGTTCTCCGTCCGCCTCGGTCTCCCCCACCCGAAGTCGGCAACATCGTACGCCCTCGAGCCCGACGAACCCGACACGTTCATGAGCCGTTCAAGCCGAAGCGTTGGGTCGCCGGCGAACCTAAAGAACTCCCACCCGGGCCAGCAACCGAGCGGGTCCTCCACCATCTTCTCGATCGCTCCCTGCACCGCCGACGCCGCGGCCGCCAGCGCGCCCTCGCCGTGGAGCTCCCGCGCGGGCAGCCTCGCGAGGCATCCGGTCAGGCAGGCGCCGAAGTAGTCCGCCCCGGCGGGAGGGTCAAGCCGGTCGCGGGCGTCGGCGAAGAAGAACAGGAACACGTCGTCGTCGTCCGCGGCCAAAGCCCTGCCGCGGACGAAGCACGTCCACGCTAGCGCGACGACGGCGACGAAGCTGGACGGGGAGCGGCGCAGCGGCGCGCCGTGTGCTTCGCCGAGGCGGACGATGCGCTGCTTCAGCCGCTTCATGTCCTGGGTGTCCAGAGTGAACGTCCGGCGGGTGAACCGCAGGCGGTCTTCCTGCAGACTCGTGGGCATGCTAGCCTGGAGTGGCGGCGAGAAGAGCAGGAAAAAAGTTGGAAAAAACAACCGGTTTGAAGAAGACTGTGCTCTGCTCGCTGGGGGAATGTGCACGTACCACTGGCAAATCTGGCGCGTACTTCCGCAGGATGCTCCGGGCCAGTTCCTCGCCGCCGGGCAGGCTGACACGGGAGCGGTCGAACACCGGCGGCGCGGGCGGCGTGTCCCCGCGGCTCGCCGCGGCCCACGCCTCGACGAACCTCCACAGCGAGCGGCCGTCGGCGACGCCGTGGTGCACGCTGACCCCGAGGGCCACCCCGCCTCCCGCGAGGCGCGTTGCCTGCACGGCCAGCACCGGCGCCGGCAGCAGGCTCATGTCGAGCTCCGGAACGAGGCGCTCGAACGTGAGCACGTCGTGGTCCTCGTCGCCCGCGAGGCGGCGGGCGTCGGCGTCGCACTCCGCGGCGACGAACCTGACACCGCGGTCGTCGTCGCCGCCGCCGGTGGAGCGGCAGATGGCGACGTCGCCGGTGTCCGCGAGGTAGTGGAGCTTGCCAGCGAGCGGGGCGTGGGTGGCCAAGGTCGCCGCGAGGGAGGACCGGAGGGACTGGAGGATGGCGTCGAAGGGCGGCAGATGGTCGCCCTCGAAGAGCAGGAGGTGCTGCAGCAATGGAATCACGACCCACTGCGCCTCCATGGCGTTGAGCTTGATGACAGGCTCGGGCGGCAGCGCGCCATCCGGCTCAGCGACGTAGGCGACGTCGGTGATTGTCACAACCGGAGCCATGTGGGTTCTGGGCGGTGCCTGACTGCCTCAGCAAGAACTGTGTGCCGGATCGGAGCTTGCTTGCTTGCCCTCGAGCCTCGAGTGTGTGTGGAAGCTGTGGAAGAGCCCTTAGCTGGTACGGGAAGGCCATCAATGACAGAGCAGCGTCACGTTGAGTTCATCGCGTCGGTGGCGGCTGGGATCCCAAAATACAACTTCTCGTCCTTTCCAGCGCTACAGGTAAAATGATTCGATACTTATTTTCGATGTTCTCCAAGTAAGACTCAAAAGATAACATTTTATACAAATGAGTTTTCGGAAGAGAGGATACTCAGATTTAAGTTATGTCTTTTTAATATTTAAAATAGATCTTCGATACTCTGTTAAGACTCTAAATATTATGTTAAAGACCTATTTTAGATTTAGATTTTCCAACGAATCTTCCAATGGAGACAGCCTAAGGTGTGTTTCACATGGACCATGACTCCTGTCTCCCATGAGTGGTTGTCTAGTACTTAAAGAATAACTTTCCTCAATCACGCTAGAACATGTCTCCACGAGCACCCAAATATTCTTTTTACCAATGGATGAACGCCACGTACCTGGCTGGCTGGCTTCTCCTTATCCATGGGTGTCTTCCTACACTCGTCTTCTTTGTCTCAGGCGAGATTGGGTTCAGGATTAGAGTGGGGATAAGGTTGATCTATCACCAGCGGGCTTAGAAGGTAATTTGGGAATCTAGAAGCGGTAGACTGATGTAAGGATAATAATAATAATACGCTCATGATCATATATCTGAGTTTTAGGGACTAAAATGACAACGCAAGCCTAAAACGAACATATGCGCTAAATATGTGTTAGACATGTTAAAATAGGTTCTAGAAATGCAAGTAAAGAAGTAACGTGAAAATTGGTGAAGAAATTCTGATGGACGCATCGCAAAAAGTGTTGGATTTAATATATGGGCTAAACCCTCAAGCTTATATGAGGAAATTTTAATAAATCCCGAAGGGGGCGTTTGGATCCCATGAATTGAACCTTATTTCAAGAATAAGATTCTAGTAATTACTTTCTATGGAAATTAAATTGTTCGGAATTTAATTGGAACGTACCATTCCTATTTGGATGCAGGTAGAATCTATTTCCATGAATTAAATTACAAAACCTGTTTGGACAAAAATAACACAGAAAGCTATATTGTCATCTCTCTGTAACATCTCACACAGCAAACACGTACGTACATCTCTCTCTACTCTCTCACTACCTCTCTCTCTCTCTCTACCTCTCTCTACTCTCTCTCTCTCTATATATACTATCTCTACTCTCTACCTCTCTCTCTCTCCTCTCTCTACTCTCTCAACTCTCTACCTCTCTCTACTCTACTCTCTCTCTATACTCTCTCTACTCTCTCTCTTCTCTACTCTCTCTAACACAATAATAAACCAGTAAGCACCTCATCAGAATAATAAAGCAGTAAGCATCTCACTACAAATAGCACAAGCTGAGATGTAGTAGTGTCGGGGACCAATACTAAGGTATCCGAAGAGGAGGAGCTAATGGCCATCAACATTGATTCATTCGAGCAGTCAAGAGCGCGACTAATGCTCCAACTGACCCCTAGGTGCGCGGGCTCCGCCTCGCCCGACCCTTAGGTTTGCGCTCCGCCTCTCCCGACCCCTTGGGTGCGGGCTCCGTCTCACCCGACGGGGTCCTATACCGCTGCCAACCACTCCAGATCCAGGCGTATGTTTCTGGGTCAAAACTCTAACACCAAGGAAGAGACCGGCACGCCTCGATGTAACCCATGGCTATGACGGGCCATACCTGATGATTCACATCAAGAATAGCATCGGGCGTGTCGGTGCTGTTCTGCCTAACCCTCGTACGAACACTGACAGGTGCGTTAGTTCACCACGACGCCCATCGGGACAGAATGAGATGCCATGACCGGCAGACGACACCTGCAAATGATGTCAGTGACGAACATGCCGCGACGTGGAGCCGTCCCTGTTGATGTCTACAGGATCGGCGGGACCCGCATGAAGGAGAAGAAGGACCCGGCGGTCCTGGCAGCCTTCTCTCTCTCTTTCTTCTCCTTTTTCTCCGCTGTAACCTGTACTTTCCCTTGGCCTATAAAAGGGAAAGCAGGGCACCCCATGAAGGGGATCAACCCATCGAAAACCGATCAGATTCAGATCCGCACAAAAGCATGACACAGACGCATGGTTGAGCAGCACCCGTTCACTCCTTCCACCAGAGACTTGGGATCCTTTCCCTCTCTCGTCCATTTGTAACCCCTACTATAAACTTTTAGTGCTAGTAACACAAGCAGCAGCAATGAATTAGACGTAGGGGCTTTCTGCCCGAACCAGTATAAACCTCGTGTCCTCTAAGCACACCATCCGAGTCAGACGCGCAATACTACAAATTTACTCGTCGGTGGTAACTCAAAACACCGACAGTTGGCACGCCAGGTAGGGGCATTTTGCGCATCTCGACGTCCACACCAGGCCTCAGATGGCTAGTCACGGCATCAGCTGGGTCCCGAGCGCGCACGTGCGCTTCGGGAACCTAGGCTTCATCGTCATCACGGAGGGAGAGTTGACGCAGGCTCCCACCACCGTCCAACCTCTCCACTCCGTCGGCCTCGACGTGATCACCGAGGCGCTTGAGGAGCTGCAGCTGCACGCACCGGAGGCCCACGCCCTCGGGAGCGACCAACTCCTTGGCTTTGATTATGGGAGGCTAGAACGCCAGCTCGGCGCCTTCCTGGGACCCTGACCGTCCCGAGAAGACCTGTGCCACCTCACCTTCTCGTTTGCCAACATCATGACGTAGCTTGCCGGAGGAGAGCCGCTCTCCTCGAAATACCTCGTCCGGAGCGCCCCAACGATGCTCCTATCCGATCTGCGCAACGCCGTAGAGACCGCTGGCCACCTTGTGGCGCAACACACTCCCTCATCCCCTACGAACGATGAGTTCGTGGGGATGACCGAATATGTTGCGGAATCTTTCCACGACCTTCTCGCAGGAGAATCGGAGTCGCCCTCTAGCTCTGACTCCAGCAGGGGGAGCCATCACCCCTCTCGTGAATATTTCATGGTAGGTACCCCTGAGGGACATGTCGAAAGCATCCACGAGGGAGAGGCTACACCAACGAACGACTTCGACGACGAGGTCGAGAGGGATACAGGGGCCCCACCTCACCTACGGGTAGAGCGGCTGAAGGCCCGGCACCAAGAGCTCGAGGAAGCATGACTTCAGCTCGAGCAAGAATGTGCGGAGCTCGAGTGAGAGATGGAGCGCCACGGAGACGGTGGGCGTGCACGCGCCGTGGCTCGTGACATGAGCCGGAGGATCATCGAGGATGATGAAGCCCTCCCACACTTCACCTGGGCAAGCTAGAACATCGCCGCCGCAGCGGCCTTGTTCTAGGGGCTTTTGGGGCCCGCGACGCCCGAGGATCGTCGGGCCCATCATGAGATTCGCACGCTACTCGAGCGTGCGGCAACGCAACAGGCCGAGAGCTCGCTATCCCGACGATGTGAGCTCAACGCCAGCCAGTGCGTGCCCTCTGAGCGACCCAACATGGATGTGTTAGTCCACCAGACACAGCAAGGCGGTAGGCCGTGCACCACGGTCCCGTTGAATGAGCGTCTTGGCCTTTACCATGATGCGCGTGACACCCACAACGCCCGCAGATGTACCCGCAGCGATGCAAGGGAGGGGACAAGCCGTGGCTACCACCCTTGTCATGGCAGACACTACAATAGTGGCGAGGATCGAAGCTCGAGCCTCGACTTGCCGAGACTTTAGGCCTTTGGCCGATACATCCTCAACGACATCTTCCCACCGTGGTACTGACCGCCGACCAATATTCTGAAATACTCTGGGGAAACGAACCCAAAACTATGGCTCAAGGATTATTGGCTTGCTTGCCAAGCCGGTGGAGCGGATAATGATGATTTCATTATCCATAACCTTCCATTGTTGCTGGCTGATTCGGTGTGAACGTGGTTGGAACACCTTTCGCCCAACCGAATCCAAAGTTAGGCGGACCTAAAAGAGATCTTCGTGGGAAACTTCCAAGGCACATACGCGCATCCTAGGAACCCATGGGATCTAAAAAACTACCGATAGAAGTCCAGGGAGACTCTTTGTGGGTACATCCGGCGCTTCTCCCGGCAGTACAACGAGTCGCCCCACGTCGCCGATGCTGATGTCATAGGAGCTTTCTTGTCTAGGACCACCTACAAGTCCCTAGTTCATAAGCTGGGATGCAAGGGCCCGCGAACCACCAAAGAGCTCCTCGACATCGCCACTAGCCATGCCTCAGGCGAGGAGGCGGTCAGGGCGATTTTTGACCGCCTCAAAGGCAAGGCTAAGTGAGACAAGGACGCTAGCGAAGACGCCTCCAACCGTCCCAACAAGAAGAAGAACAAGCAGCGGTGCGAGGGCTCGCTCGTGGCCGCCATCGACCGCAAGGGGGGTCGAAAGCCCGTCGAAGGTACCTCGAACCACTTCGAGAAGTTACACAAAGGGCCATGCCCGAACTATGCTTTCCCTATCGAGCACCTATACAAGGATTGTGTCCTCATGAAGCGGTTCTCACGGTGCTCTAGAGCCTGAGGACAATCCCCAACCAGGCCACCGGCTACACACCATTCTTCATGGTCTACGGTTCCAAGGCTATCATCCCGACTGACCTCGATTATGGAGCGCCGAGGGTCAAGGCGTACGACAAACAGGGAGCCAAGGCGTCCCTCGAGGATGCCATGGACCAGCTAGATGAAGCGCGCGATGTTGCCCTCCTCCGCTCGGCCAAGTACCAGCAAGCGTTGCGTCGGTACCATAGCCATCAAGTGCGGGGTCGGGCCTTCAACGTCGGGGACCTGGTGCTCCGCCTTGTCTAGAGCAACAAGAACCACCACAAGCTCTCTCCGCTGTGGGAGGGACCTATGTTGTCTTGGAGGTGCTTCGACCAGGCACCTACAAGCTTAGGACCATTGACGGTAAAGTCT